TTTCGTTATTTTGACACCAACATCTCTACACAAATGTCATTTGTCGTTTATGCCTTATGTCTAAAGTTGATAATTCATTTTCGATTTTGTATCTGTCAACGAATAGGTTGATTTGAAAATTATCTTTTATCTTGGACACGATGTACTAATTGTCTTTAATATTTTTAATGACCGTCTGATTTTAAAAAGGTAAGTTTCCTACCAATATTTTGTTGAAAATATATATTTTGTACAAGAATTTCTAATTAAAATGTCAAATCTGAAACATAACCTCAACATTGAATAACACATGATGATCCATTTTATATAATTTTATCTATTATTTTGTTAGGAAAGAGATAATATGCATTACTATATTTAAATATGTTAAATAAGATTTTAATTTTGGTCTCTGTGAAGCTATTCATTTAATAATTAGAATTGTTCATTTAATAGTAAAAATCATCTTATCTGTTTCCTATGTAAACTTCCTATCCCTTTCTTGATATTTTTACCTTTTTCCTTGTAGCCTGGCTTTATCTAGATGGTTCTGTAGAAGTTATATCGAAAGAGATTGTTAAGAAGTTTTGAAGAACGTTCAAGCTGCATGTTTAGAAGTATAGAAACTTAAAAGTTTAGTTCCAGCTACAGAAGTTTATTTCAAGTATATCAAGAGGTTTAGTTCGAATCATCTAGAGAAGTTTATGAGATTTGAGTTGACTTTTGAAGGTTTACACTTAAGAGTTGATGATATCCGAAGTACATCATACGAATCCCCTTGAAGAAGGCCTCTACAGTCACTCCTGAAATACTACCTCCTTTATAACAGATAAATCTTGAATAAAGCATTTAAATTTGAATAAGTAAATCTCTGTGAATTAGAATTTGTCGCTACCTTATCTGAAACCTTATTTCATTATAATATCTTAATGGTTAGTGATTTTCTATATTTTTATCATTAATCGACAGTCAAGTTTAGTAAGTTTTAAATATAGTGGCTCTCAACACGTACTACGAAAGAGTTCTAAAATGGCGTAAAAAAAGGCCCAACAAAAGAAACAAGACGAATACCATATTTTTGGAAAGATCTAAATACGGGGAATTTCACCATTTGTGTCAAAAACTAAGGCTTTATCCAGTTTTATTTCGCAGTTGTAGTAGAGTGTTACCTGAAACATTTGACTATATTGTCAAAGCAATCACCCCTGAAATGAAATATGCAGAAACAAATTTTAAACGCCCGATTTCAGTTCCAGAGAGGTTAATGTTAACATTGAGGTAAGTCAAAAATAAACACTTTATTTAAATATGAGGCACATAGTTCGTACATAATGGAAAATATATAAACATGAAATAAAAAAATTAACTGTAGGTATCATTTTGAATACCATGATATTGTTGGTATGCAGAAGTTGATACCAGTAGATTTTCGGCTGGTGAGATCGGTGCAGAAAAACAGGTGCAGGAGATGGAGCGCTAGAAGGATGCGAACGCTCTTGATAAGATGAGATGGAAGTGACGTTTGCAATATGGGGATGTCGATTGTTCTGTAGTTTCCATATTTCTTTACTTAAAAGATTCTGAACCTGACTACTAAAAGACAATTTATTCAAAGGGGGAAGTTGTCTTACGTGAGGAAAAAGGGATTTGAAAAAATTTATGTCATCATCTTCATCGTTTTTTTCTAATAAAGCAACCTTTTTAGCTTCTTATCGTAAAAATTCTTCATCTAGGTTTCTTTCGTTTTTTGCTGGTACCTTTCGCTTCCGTTGTACTGTAATAGGGTTAATTTATTTCTCTAGAATTATTTCCAAGTCATCGTTTGGTTGTTTTCGAGGCACCCGTTTAACTGGTTTTGATGGTGGTTCAGATGAAGTACCAGGCTGTGATATTTCATCGTCATCAAGTTCTTCATTAGATTTTGCTTCTGAAGGCTGTGATGTTACTTCCATTTCAGTTTCACTTCCTTGGGACATCTGCGTACCAAGGAAAGTACTTTCGGAATCTTCTATATTACCTTTTGTTGCCTTAGGTGTTAATATAGATTTCAAAAACATCATCGAATCAAAATGTTACCAAGTGCCGTTATACCGAAATGCGTTTTCTCCGTCATCTCCTGATCGGCACTTCGGAATTTTGTTCAGCTCTTTTTTGAACTTATCCCGTAGATTCTTCCACTTATTCTTCACCACTTCCTCTAAAACAGAAGAATATTTTTAAAATGCGGTATTGTTATTTTCAGGTATTTGGCAACAGGGATAAAATTTAGACAACTTCAATATTCCTTCAGAATATTTAAGACTGCCGTAGCTACCATCATAATTGAAGTATGCAAAGCGATTTAGAAAACTTTAGTAAAAAAGCACATGCCCCAGCCCACGACCGAAAACTTTAAAAATATTGCTACCGATTTTTGGCAATTTCCAAATTGCATGGGATGTTTGGATGGTAAACATATAAGAATAAAACGGCCATCAAAATCGGGTTCAATGTATTATTGTTACAAAAACTTTTTTTCTATTGGTCTGATAGCACTTACAGATGCGAACTATAAGTTCATAATGATGAATGTTGGATCTTACGGCAAAGACAGTGATGCAGGAGTATTTGAAAACTGCCCCCTACGAAAAGCAATCGAGAGTGGGTCAATTGTTCTTCCAGAAGAAACAAATTTGCCTGGGTCAACCATAATGGCACCCTACGTATTTCTCACACACAGAATATTTGATGAGACCATTCCCACGATCACAGTTACAAGTAGGAGAAGAAAATTATATCTTTAACTAGAGACTTTGTCGTGCGAGGATGGTAGTAGAGTGTTCATTTGGTGCAATTGCATCCAAATTTAGAATTATACAAAAAGCCATCGAAACCAATGTTGAAAACGCTATACCCATTGTTAAAGCAATACCATTACTTCATAATATTATTAAGGACCTTGAAGGCATATCTGAAGTGGATTTCGTCAATTATAGAAACGTTACGATTGATCAAAGAAGTCACGTGCAACCCAGTAAAGGCATAATGCTTCAACAAAAAAATCCCTGTTGGCTAGAAAGAAATGTTGTAGATTTTTTACACTTCGTTCTTTAACTCATGCATAGCATTATTTCTCTTGTAAGTTTTTTTACTTGGTTTAAAATAAATATTTTGTTAGCCACATATTTTTTTTTTCAAAACGAAACAAAATACGTAAACATATCACATGGCAGAACGTTGTAATTGAGCTGGCTAAGCCGAAAAAATAATATAAAACTTGAAATAGTCAAAATACTTACTTGTTTCCTAAAGATCTTCTGCAATTCTTGTCCATTCTCGATCCACCAGTAGTCTATTGTGATAGTGTTTGTGTTTCATGTCCCAAAGAACTCGAGTACTTTTGATATTACTAATTAGTAATTCGTAAAAAGTTTCAGACATGATGCGTGCACAAATAATCATCGGGATAGACTGAAGCGGCAGAGGCGGAAATAGCAAATATTTTGACCGTCTGTGCCGTCTCAAAAACGCTAGAGCAGCGCGTGCCGCGCGGTTATTGCTACGAAGGACACCCCAATATATATATCATCACTTTGATATCAACGCGCCGGCCGCTAATTGCCGCTCACATAGGACACTGCGTTAATAGCACTCGATTAAATAATACAACTCAAATAACGGCGAAACGGCTGCCGGCAAAACGGCCGCCGGCGAACTGGCTCGACGGCGATGGCGAAACGGCGACGGCGAAACGGCGCCGGCGAAACGTCCTAGACCCACCTATTGAACGTACTCGGCCCCGACACACTCTCTGTAAGAAATAACATGCTTTGGACCTAGGCCGGAGCAGACGTGTGTGTATACATTATATTCTAAGCGAAAAGTGAGGTTAAAGTAGTAAAAGTGCCAGTGAAGTGAAAGAGCCCCAGCGCACCGGTAATAAATTCTTACTCGACGCGCAGCCGCGAAAATTTCGTAGTGTTCGTACGTCAACGCAGGTGAGGGCCCCAAACCTGCGCGTAGACGCGCGAAAACAGTGAAATCGCCGCGCAGTGACAAAAAGAATCGCAACCGGACACAGATAGGCGTGCGCAGTTACTTCCCGGTTTTATACGGAGTATTTGCTTACTGTTGAACGATATTAGTCAAACAAAATTGACACTTAATAATAACAAAATTGACACCTAAAACAAAATTGCCACCTTCGAACTACAAAACAGTTGAAAGTTTCTCGTGACACCTGCCGTCCTTTTCCGGGGTTCCGCGGTAGGCAACGAGAGGCCTAAACGAGTTTATAAGGCTGATTCTTGCGCGTCAAGAATCAGCCTTTTTTTATATATAAAGTGCTTTCCACATACTTTCCTAATATACGGTCGACACACAAATGGAAGAGAGCATGTCGGACAATGAACTAGAGAAAAATATGGACAACCTGTCCAAGTCTATTATATCTGCGGAACAAGAAATAGAAAAAACTGGAATGCTTACACGCAAAAGTTCAGTCGCCAGATCACCTGAGGTAATAAGACGGCACTCTCTGGCATCAGAATCGCCAGAAAAATATGATGAAGTGAACTACCCGGAATCGGCTGGTAGCAAAAGAAAAAGGATGGAACTGAAAGTTTCAGAAAAATCTAAGAAAAGAGACCTAAAAATTGTCACAACTGATCAAAACCCCGAAGAACCAACACCCGAAGAGACAGAAAAATTAAGACAGGAAAAAGAAAACAAACGATTGAACGAGGAGAAAAAGAAACAGGAATTAGAAGATGAAAAAAAGAAACAAACTCTGGAAGTAGAGAGAAAGAAGAAAATCTTGGAAGAAGAGAAAAAGAAAAAGGAGGAAAAGAGGAAGGAAATGAAAAAAAAAAAAGGAAGAGGAAGCAAAAAACGCGGCAATAAGTGCGGCAAACAGTGCGGTAAATAGTGCGGGAGTGAGTGCTAATACACCCCAGGTGAGTGGAGAACTTGAAAAACACGACAAAGACGCAACACCAAAACAGACAAACACACAGACATTAATACAAGCCACGACGAATAACATGAAAGACATAAAACAACAAATTAAAGACGCTGTCACTAGAACGACACCCGAGGGTAGGGGAAAAATAGCCTTCTCAATGAAGGAACAAAAGACGGTTTTAATGGCGGTAGACGACATCTCAAATATGTATACAGATATTTTGACACTACTCCTAGTGCAGGAAAACGAAATCAACAAACTACAAAGAGAAAACTATGAACTAAGACAAGACAGACTACATACACAAAAAACAAAAACAACTGACATAGATACAAGCATGGACAACAAATTAAAAAATTTACAAACAGAGATTATAAAGGCACTCAAGAGCAACCCACTTGCAGGTACCATAACACCGACAACGACAACAACAAATGCTACTCCCCTGACACCAACAACAAATATAATGTCAAACGACTTCCCGGCCCTAGGGCAAAGAACTTACGCCCAACTGGCGAAAAAACCCGCAAATACAAACCCAGAGACTACTAAAGACAAAAAGACATGGACGACACCGGAACCTTACAAAAAATTCGACACGGTAATTAAACTTAAAGAGGGGCAACATGGAGACACACTTACAGAGCTAAAGAAACTTATTAAAGCCAAAGACATCAAAGGAACACAAATAAGACACACACGGACAGCCATAGTATTAACATCACAAACAAAGGACAAACAAGACGACATAATAAGACGCACACAGACATCCGCAAAACTAGACATTAAAGACGGGACAAGACACAACGAACCTACAATTATACTGACCGGAATTAAAAAAGGACTGACATACGACGAACTAACGGACGGCCTAAAATTAGAAAACGATGACTTAAATGACAATTTTAGTGACAGGCTAAAATTACTAACAGTAGTATCGACAAGACCCTGCAGAAACCCATACAAGGAAAACGCCTACGTAAGAGGACCGACGGACATCATAAAATACTTATTAAAAACGGAAAAAATATATTTGGACTTCCAGACAATTTATATTAATGAGGCCACACAGCTCGCCCTATACTTTAGGTGCTGTCGATACGGACACGTATCGAAGCACTGTAGAGAAAAGACAGCGACATGCTATAAATGCGGAGACGGACACGACGGCAATACTTGCAACAAAGACACGGACAAATACAACTGCGTAACTTGTGAACGACTACGACTTATACCAAGAAGACATCAGGCCAGAGACATAAATTGCCCAATTTACGAAAGAAAACTAGACGAAGCACGGGCACAAACATCTTACAACTAATAGGACACACAAACAAAAACCCACAAACAGACTAAACAAAAACACACACAAACACAAACAAACACACACAAACAAACACACAAAGACATACAGACAAGACAAATACAAAAAGGGTTCTAGATGAAATTCAAAAAAAAAAAAAAAAAAAAAAAAAAAAAAAAAAAAAAAAAAAAAAACGGTGAATGCTACCAAAACGCCGTTTTCGGTGGTCGTATTCGGTGGCCTTACTTTTTAAGCTCGATTTTGTCGCTTTAAACCGCGTAATGCCGCGCGGACCTAATCGAAAATTATATCAACCGAAAGTGAAATTTCTCCTGTGTCCAGTGATATAGTTACTTTTCAGAAACATATTTTATGGTGTGAAATAAGTGCATCTGATTATTGGAGCATTCAGTTTGTTTGGTGTTTTTTGTACACTTTTTATGCTCCTACTTATCGGTGAAGTAAAAACTCTCATCAGTAACTGCTGAAGATTTTATTTCAAATACATTTCTTTTACCAGTGGCGTATCGTCTCCATTTGCCAATGATTTTTGTAACTAATGGATCCAATCAATTTTAAATGTTGTAAGAATAAGGTATTTAACAATCTGTATTGTATCGTTTGCTTTGATGTTTTTCATCCTTCTTGTATTGAAAGAAAAAAACACTTTAAAGAATTAGGCGGTTGTAAAATTTACTGTTCCCAAAACTGCGAAAATAAAGATAATTATAAAAAAGAGGAAACAGATAAGTTATATGAAAAGATTGACTCATTAAAAAAGGAAAATTCCGAAAAAAATATATTACTACAGAAAAATGAATATGATAAAAATGAAGAAATTGAACAAATGCAGGCAGTAATTAATGAAATAAGTAAAACCTTGGAAGAAAAAAATAATCACATTAAACGATTAAATAAAAGAACTCGTGATTTTGAAAATGAAGCTCTGGAATTAGAAAGAGAAGACGTTGAAAAACTAAAGGAACAAATAAATGTAATAAATGATTTGAACAAACAAATCTCAGATTTTCATGAGATGCAGAAATTACATAAAAGTGAACTTCAGAATAAAAATGATAAAATTGTGTCTTTGGAGGATGAGATAAAGGATTTGGATAGGATAAGCAGGCAAATGTTGGAAAGTATTAAACTTTTAGAAGGTGAAAATGCTAGATACAATTGGGAATTGAAAAATCTTACACATGATATTAACAAGTTCTCTAATACAACCCACAAACGTGTTGAATCAACAAAAAATATTAATGAATTAGCCCATGAAGTAACCAAACCAATGAATGACATAACAGTGACGCGCCGAGGGGATAAAGACAATAAAAATAAAATTTTAATTTTGTGTGATGAGGGGGGTAGAAATTTGGGTAGATTATTAAATTTGCAACTTAAGGATAAATATAGTATAGAAACTATTATTAAACCTGGCGCCTGCCTTAAAGATGTGATTGAATACATAGATCGACTAACAAAAACTTTTACTTTAAATGATTTTGTTATTATTCAAGCTGGTTTTAATGATTTTCTGTATCATAATTACCCTTCTTTCAAACTGTTAAATTTTAAATTAAAACAATGTCTTAATACCAATTTAATTCTGACTACAGTTCCTTCTAAATTGCCGAAATATGAATTTTTCATTAATAAGTTTAACGATAAACTAATAAATTATATTATAAGACTTGATAAATGTGTTGAAAAAAGCAAGGTATCAATAGTAGATGTGAATAATAAGGATGGGTATAGTATTAGTAAAAAAATATTAGCACTTAGATTATCAAATTTAATTAACAATGACAAAAAAAATGGTACTTTGATCCACATAACATGTAATAATGTAATTTGTGATGTTACAAATACTGAAACTTCTAACAAGAATTTAAATGACAATGTTATAGATATAACAAATGACTTAAATGTAGGACTCAATAGCGATGTAAATTTTGTCAATTTAGCCGACGAAATGTCAATAACATAGATACTAAAAGTGTTTATTTATCACATAAGGATCCTGTAAAAAGTATTTGTTATGATATATTTTTGTGTAACATTGAAGGATTGAAACAACATAAACTTGATAACCTTATATCGGAAATCAATCATTTCTCTATAAATTTTGTCTGCTTAACAGAAACATGGGTATCTAAACAGGATATAAAAACATTTCATTTTCCAGGTTATAACCTAGCTAGTTGTTTTAGTCGTTCATTGTATCAACGAGGTGGTGTCTGCATATGGTCCAAAGAACATCTCATAATTGAATCGATTTCCTTTGAAGAATATTGCATAGAGAAGGAAATAGAAATATGTGGTATAAGGTGGATATTCAATGGCGATACATTTATAATTCTCTCATGTTATAGGTCACCTAGCGGACATCCTACAACATTTTTATCCAATCTTAACTTAATTCTAAATAAAATTTATCAGCCCAAGTATTTCATAGTTCTCTCTGGGGATTTTAATCATACCTCTATGAACTCAAATCAAAGCTTTGCCTTTGAACAGTTAGTCACATCATATGGGCTCATCCCAAAAAATTTTACTCCTACTCGAACTACCAAAACATGTAGTAATGTACTTGATCAGATTTACACAAATTACAAAGATACTGTAGGAATCGTAACTTTAAATACAGACTCAGATCATGACAATTTCCTGTTAAAATTCAATAAGCTAAAACTAAAAACCAATCCTAGCTCATATCAAAGTCGATTAATGGGAGAGACTAACATTAACGACCTAATAACATACCTTTCCAAAGAAAACTGGAATGGGATATATCAAGAAAATACTACCAACTCAAAATTCAATGTGTTTCACAATACTTTAACATACTATTTTAACGCTAGTTGCCCTTTAAGACAAATAAATGCTTCCAGATTACCACCTCGCTGTTGGGTAAATAAGAACATAAAAGAGTCCTCTAATAAATTAAAAGATCTATTTCAATTGAAGAAAAAATTCCCCGAGTTGCATGAATGTTATCATCATGCTAAAATAAATCATAGAAAGCTTGTTCAAAACACGAAATCCGAATATTATAATAATAAAATTAATGATTCGGCAAATAAAAATATAGCAACATGGAAAGTCATAAATGAACTACAAGGTAAGACAAAGACAACAAAGAGTATTTCAATTCACAACGATGGCAAAATTATTGAAAACCCAACAACTATAGCTGATATGTTCAATCAGTTTTTTACTTCGATTCCATATGAAACAATTAACAGAATCTCAACTCCAAAAACAAATCATAAATATAATAACAATAAGTCACCCACAAAGAGCTTTTTTACTTCTTATGTCTCTGAATCAGATGTAAACACAGTCATAAAACAAAAAATCAAAAACAAACCATCCAGCGGTTTTGACGATATCTCTGGAAACTTGATAAAGAAAATCGCAGAATATATTTTAACACCACTAACTCATATAATTAATTATTCCCTGGAAGAAGGTATTTTTCCCGAAAGATTAAAAACATCTATAGTAACGCCTATATTAAAAAGAGGTAACCCGCACGATATGTCTAATTATCGACCTATCTCAATGACTTCTACTCTTTCAAAAATATTCGAATACATAATGCTGGAGCAACTAATGAAATACCTTAACTTAAATCAGATTATATCTGAATCTCAACACGGATTCCGTCCTAAATACTCTACAAATACAGCCATTATCTCCTTATACGAAAAAGTGCTTCAATCTATTGAGTGTAGTGGGGGTTCGGCTGGGATTTTCTGTGATCTTAGCAGAGCCTTTGACTGTGTTCAGCATGATGTTTTATTAAATAAACTTCACTCATCTGGAATTAGAGGCAATCAAAATAAATGGTTTGAAACATATCTTACAAATAGACCCCAAATGGTTAAAAGTAACAACTCAGGAAAACAGTGTTTCTCTCAAGAAATAATAAATAATATAGGAGTGCCCCAAGGGTCAGTGTTAGCTCCCATACTTTTCACAATTTATGTAAATGAACTTCCAGAATTACTTTACCATGCATTCACAATTCTCTATGCAGATGATTCGACTTTCTTGTTTTCTGATCCCATTGAAGAACAATTGAAAAATAAAATCGATAGGTCAATTAAAATATTCTCGGAATGGGCTAGTAATCTCTCATTATTATTTAATATTACAAAAACTAACTACATTTATTTCCATACATACCAAAATTCTAATATACCTTGTCTAGATATGTCTGTAAACAACACACACATAAATACAGTTGATTCCACAAAATTTCTAGGAATAACATTCGATGAAAATCTATCGTTTAAAACTCACTGTCAAAATTTAGCGACAACCTTAAACTCACAATGTTTTCAACTTCGTAACCTTAAATGCATTTTAAAACCTCACCATCTTCGTCAAATTTACTTCGCAAATGTACATTCTAGGTTGATTTATGGTATCTGTGTATGGGGCGGATCATCCCATGCTAATGAAGTATTTATATCTCAGAAGAGAATTATAAGATGCTTGGCTGGTATTCTACCAACAGATTCCTGTCGCCCTCTATTTAAAAAACTTAAAATCCTTACCGTATTCGGAGTATATATTTTAGAACTTTTAATATACATATATAAAAACAAATCGAATTTTAAACGTAATAGCGACTTTCATTCATATAGCACCAGGAACAAAGATGAACTTGTTCCTCTGTTAGCACAGCTAAATATTTGTGCTAAGTCACCAACAATTCTTGGAATAAAATTATTCAATAAACTGCCACAGAGCATAAAAAATGAATCAACATTAAAAACATTTAATTATCGAATAAAACAACAGCTTTTAGAAATATGTCCATATTCAGTGCAAGAATATTTTCAATATAAATTTGTACCACATGCTTCACCACCAAACTGTTCTAGATAAATTTATACAAATGCCCCTTTTCGCCTACCATTCTACGTTTGTCTCTTCTATATTTGTCTGTATTGTTTTGTTTAATTACTTTTATTTATTGTATACACCTTTATATTTATAATTCTGACGTG